ATAGCAGCCTGAATTTTCCCAGGCTGAGTCAAGGCCAAGAGCTGGTTGATTACCTTCACCCAAGCTCAGCTCTGTCTCCCCAGGGCCTGACTGACCATCCCCATCTCTTCCAGGAGCGGCTGGCAGTCCTGGACAGTCAGGCTGGGCAGATCCGGGCTCAGGCTGTGCAAGAGTCTGAGCGCCTGGCCCGGGACAAGAATGCCTCCCTGCAGCTGCTGCAGAAGGTAGCCCAGCCAGGTGGCAGGGAGGGGCTGTTGGGGTTGGGGTTGGGGAGGGTAGGGGTGGGTGGAAGGGGAGAGCAGTATTCTCACTTCACTTGATCTCTTCCTTTGCCGTCACTCCCACTACTATCTGATTCTCTGCCACTTCGGCCTTGCAGGAGAAAGAGAAACTGACTATGTTGGAAAGAAGGTACCACTCACTCACAGGGGGCAGACCTTTTCCAAAGACCACATCAACCCTCAAAGAGGTAACGTGCTTTGGTCAGCTCCGGCTTCAGGCAGGCCCAGGGGTCTCCTGGGAGGCTCTGGAGCAACACATGGCACTTTAACCTCAATGGCTGAGGTTGAGTATGGGGACATTTTTTTGGACTGGAGAGATGTGAGTAGGAATGGTCCTGAGTTCTGGGATTTGACCCTCTATGGCTACCAACTGCTTTTTAGTTAACCTTTTTGGCTCCCAGAAGCCCACCGATCTTACTGTTTTAGGTGACTGAGTACATTGTGAGGGGGATCTGCTGTTCAGAGGTTTGGAAAGGTCCAGGCCTGGGCAGATTCACTTTGAGAGAAGTATAGAAATCTAGGGGCCCTGATCTTGGAGCTCCCAGGGCTTCAGTCTAGAACTAGACTCTTGACTCAGAAGTAGGCATTGAGGCCTCTTAAGCCATTCTTTCCTGAGTCTTTGCCTGCCTGGTGTGTGAGGTCCAAAGAGGCATGCCCAGTGTTCTGAGCCCTTTCCCTCCCTCTCTGCCTCACTGCACAAGCAATTTAGGCCTGGGATGGGGTGGCTGGGCTGAGTGTGAGGGCTGAGGCCTCTCACCACATACCCTCCCCGTAGGCTGAACTGCTCATCTCCGAATCTTCAGAGATGGAGCTGAGGACTGCGGCTCTGGGCCTATTCCCAGGGTCTTCTCAGGCTGGCACCTCTGTCCCTTTAACCTCACCTGCTTCCACTCAGCTCTGCCCCAAAGCACAAGAGGTAATCACAGCTAACCACCTGCTCTGCTGTGCCCACTGCCTGCCTGCCTGCTTAATGAGCTCCTGCCTCCAGTGTCTCCCAAGGGCCCAACTGAAGGGCATGTGACAATAATCCTTTGGCCAGAGTTTACGAGTTTGAGTGAGTGTGCTGGTATTGGTATGCCATAGGTGCCTGGGCAGCCCATAAAAAGTCAGCATCAATTTGCATATCAATTTGCATGTATTCTGTATTACATTTGTCAGTTCTCACAAACACTGGACCCTCCAGTTCATTTTTCTTTTCTGTGACCCCTGAGGACAGTCAGCCCCTGGAGCTAGGCCAGATTGGATAGGGCAGGCTTAGGATCCTCTCTTTTGATTCAGCCTGCATTTTGGATGCCTACCATGCCCCCAACACCTAGTTAAGCTCAGAGTTCTAAGGTTATGCTCAGGGAATATGACAGTCGCTGCCCTCCTAACCCACAATCTAATGTGCTAGTATCTTTCCAAGTCCTTATCCTTGGGCAGTGGGCCTATTTTTCTGCGTAGGCTTTTAGCTGCTCCCTGCCAAGGTATCTTTCTCAGAGCCCATCTTGCTTAGGCCCTAGTGGTGTCTCCACCCCCACCCCATCCAGCTTCTGCCTCAGCAGATGGGATATGAGGACACCTTCAGCAATAGTGTGACTGGTGCTCGATGCTGCATGTATGTGCTCTACTAGGGATGCCCAAGGAGTTAGATCTGGGCACTGGGTCCTCGTCCTTGGTGGGTTCTTGGAAGGCCCTCCCTAAGCTTATTTGCATGACCTCAGCCCAGGGCAAACCCAGAGATGGACTTTCAGAGTCTGCCTGGGGCAGAACTTGGATGCCAAGGCAGCTTCAAAAGTGGAGGTCAAGAAGAACCTTCAGACAGACTGTTCGCCTGCCCTTTTTTGCCCCTGCCCCCACAGCCATCTATGGCGAGAGTAGCCAGCTAAGCTTCTTACCCCTGTTCTGTTTTGTATGGAATGAAGTGATGGTTTCTAGGGCATGGAGTGTGGGTGTTGGTTACCTGGTTGAAACCTGTTAACCTCTTCTCTGCCCACCCTTCTGCCTCCCACTGGGCACCCTAGGAATATGTGAGCCTGGCAGAGTTTCTCCAGCTGTGCTCCTGCTTGGACCCCTATGCTTCTGCCACCTCCCCCAGCGTGCTTGCTCAGCCCCTGCCTGACAGTGAGGTAACAGCCACCGAGTAAGCCCACCTATGCCCAAGGGCCTCTGTGTAGTTGCCCTAGATTGCTCCTCAGGCCTGGGTTGGGGGGCATCAGGATCTGTCTTCAACAGTGAGAAAGAAGGGCAACTGGCATGGGTTGGGAGTGGTTCCCTCTCTTCTCCAGGGCCTCAGGAGCTTTCTTCAGCTCCTGACAGCTCAAGGAGGGGCAAGCCTTCTGCTCTAGCATGAGGGTATCATGCTGAGAGAGCTCTGGCTTTCCCTGGCTCTGCAAGCCTCCTTTGCTCTGTGCTTCTGTACTCGCCCTTCCCTTGTCCATGGGTAGTACCACATCTTGGGTTCCAGTACTATTAACCTCTTGTGTTTCCTCTTGCATCCTGGCCTTCCTCCAATGACTGACACTTGAGCAGCTAAAGGCCATGTGGAGCACCTTGCCTGTGCCCACAGCCCCTGCACCAGGCCTGCCTCTCTGGGCCTATGCCTCCCGGGACCTGGTTCCCACCACCTGCCTTCCTCTTGTGCTGCCCTCTATCTCCTCCTTCGCTTCTGTCACACCTTCACCCAAGGTTGGTGGTCTATGTGTTCCTGCCACTCCCAGCCCTCCACTGGTATGACTATCTCGGTGTGTTTTGCCCTACTCACTCAGCTTCCCAGCTCTAGGCTAGCCCCAGGGGAGTGCTTAGTGCCTGTGGGCTCTGGATGGCTGGCATCATGGTTGGCATAGCCTATGTCTGTGTTCTGGGAGTTATGTCCTGAGTGTTTCTCTTTGCTCTTAGCACATTCACAGCAACTGTTTTCTCACTATTTTCTTCTTCCTTCTCTTTATGTTCTTCCTTTCTCCCTTCCTTTCTTCCCTGCTTCTCTCACTTTCTTGTCTGTTTCTCTGATAACGGCCTTCCTTTGTTCTTCCTCCAACCTTCCCTTTCTTCTCTCTTTTCTTCCTTCTGCCTCCCCTTTCCCTTCCCTTCATTTCCTGACCTTTCCTCTCCACTCTTCCCCTCTTGTACCCTGTCCCCCTTCTCATGCTCTCCTCCAGATGGAGAAGCTGCTGTTCCCTGCTGTAGACTTAGAGCAGTGGTACCAAGAGCTGATGGCTGGGCTGGGGACTGGCCTTGCTGCAGCCTCTCCTCGCTCCTCCCCTCCGCCTCTGCCCGCCAAAACTTCCCGTCAGCTGCAGGTAACCTTCTCCATCACTCCCCCATCCCTGCTCCTCTCTGTTTCGGGTACCTCCTGCCAATCCATCAGCCATACATGCCACCTTAGGTAGTGGAGGGTCAGTCCAGCCAGGGCAACATGGGGCCTTTGTATTCTGAGAGGGTGTGAGGCAACCATCTTGGCATTTTTGGCAGCCAGAGGGAAATGAGTCCAAAAGTGATGTGATTGACTGTCCAGTGGAAGGGGGTTCGGGAGCAGTGGTCAGGTTGGGATCTGTTTGGTGCCTCTTAACTCTTAGCTAGAGTGTGGCTCTACTCTGTCTTTGGCAGCCCTCAGCCCCAGAGCTGCTCACCTAGTCTGAGGGCCTGACACACTCTTTAGCCTACTGCAGCTAGAACTAGTGTGTCCTGGGAGAACTGCCAGCATTTTGCTCTCCTGGTCTCTCCAGGGGTGACACTTAGAAGCAAGGTAGAGAAGGACAAAGACTTTGAAGTGATAACCCTGAGGACATCCCCAAGTCTCCTCAAAGTTACTGTGGAGGGCATGGGCCTACTTGAGCCCGCAGCAAGCTAATGGCCATGGGGGTGGAGGAAGGGTATTCAAATAGTCTTCTCCCGAGTTTTATCCCACTGACCTGCTGTAGTGCCTAAGACCCCGCTATTCAAGATTCATTTTTTGAGTGAAGGCATTGCACCTCTAAGACCGTGATCTCAGCTAAAATTCCATGTTCCCTTAGGGAGGAGTTTAGTTCATGCAACATGCGTGGTACCTCTCCTTTGTGTCCAGCTGGCTAGAGATTTTTTAATGTGTTTGGATTCATTGAATCATCACCACAGGCCTTTGTGGTAGATATTGTTAACGTTTTACAGATCAAACACCAGGGCTCAGAGAAGACAAGTAGTCTCCCCAAGGCCAAACAACTAGGAAGTAGCAGAGACTAGGCTGACAGGCAGGGTCCTTGACTCCAAAGACTGTATTCACCTTAGTGCTGTGAGTTTGGCCGTTATTCAGTCTGGGCTTAACCCGTGCCTTTTGCAGATAAAGAACCCAAGGCCCAAAGTGGGGAGGTGCATAGCCCCAGCTCACACAGCATGTTAGTGGCAGAGCTGGGACCAGAGGAAGCTCAGGCCTCCAGGTGGTCTTCTGTACAACTCTGCTCAGCTGATGTCAACTTTTTGCATAGGTCCATTTACAAGGTTCTTTCTAAGATGCAGGTTTGGACTAGGGATTGGCTTAAGGAGGAACAGCCTGGAAAGCAGGCTTGGCAGCTGCCAATAACATCTGCTCATTGGTCTGGCCCAGGAGGCTCAAAGCTGTTGTCAGCTAGGGACACAGGCCTGGTGCTAGAGCAATACCTTGGATCACAGCCATCCTAGGTGACGTGGGCATGGTAGCAGTGGGGGGAGCTGGACTTCACCAGGCAGTATCTCTTCTGTCTAGGTTTACCGCTCCAAGATGGATGATGAGGCCACTGGCCCCCTGCCCCGTACCCGCAGCGGCCCCCTCCCCTCTTCCTCTGGTTCTTCTTCTTCCTCCTCCCAGCTCAGCGTGGCTACCTTGGGCCGTAGCCCATCCCCAAAGGTCTGAGAACAGTGGATGGGCTCATGTGTAGCAGGGTGGTGGTGGTGGGGGGTAACTGGAGACTGCTCTACTGGGAAGAAGCCAGAAGCCAAAGCCACCCCTGAAAGCCTTGTAGCGGGGGTCTTCTGACCTCTGGTTGCAGTGCTCCATCTCCCTCCACAGAATGCTCCACTCATCCAGAATGGCACAGGCAGCCTTCCTCGCAACCTGGCAGCCACACTGCAGGACATCGAGACCAAGCGCCAACTGGCCCTGCAGCAGAAGGGTGAGTGGCTACAATGCCAGCCCACCTGCTCTTCTGGGGGCCCTGGATATCTGCCGTACATCATCCCCACCATACCTCATCCATGCCCACACCTTTCACAGGATGTTTATCTTTTGTTGGGATCTAGATAAGAGCAGAAAGGATTTAGATTACATGCCTGAAGAAGGGCTTCCTGGATATCTATCAAAGGGCAGGGACCTAAGGTTACTGGAGGGAGGAGGACTGTGAGATCTTTTCTAGAGAGTCCAGCAAATAAGGGAAATGCTTTTTGACTTGAGTGGGGATGGGCATTGTCCTGTCTGGAGGCAGGGTGATAGACCTGACCTCCAGAAATGGTTCCCTAAGATATTGGTTCTGAGGACCCAGGAGTCCTTATTACCTTTGTACATTTTGGTTGTTTTGAAAGCCCATATCTGTGCCTCTCTCTCCTCTCATCCCCTCTGTGTCTCTCTACCCTACCTTCTGCCTGGGGTCCCCTACACCAGTCGAGTTGCTTCCTGCCGAGCCCCTCCTAACCGACGACCCAGCAGGTAGAGCATTGGTCATTGAAGACCTTGCTTTGGCCAGGCAGCCTCTGCCTGGGCATCTGCATGATATATTCTGTCCAGGCCCCCACTGCCTGCAAGCAGGCTCCCAGGCTGAGCTGGGATGGGGTGTCCGGCTGCCTCACCCCTCAAACTGAGCTCTCTCCTGCCTCAGCTGTGCTCTAACTTGTCTCCCCTTCCTTCTGTCCTGCTGTTGTGCTCTTGCTCTGCATCACCACTGAGTCTGCATTGACATCCTGGTGCTCAGAGGGCTCTCACCATCTCTTCCTTTTCCCTTCCCCAGCTGGAAGGGTGGGTGCATGTGTCCCTACACATTCAGGACTTGGTTGTGAGCTGGAGCCATCTGGCTGTCCTGCTGTAAGATCAGTGCCCTATGTGAGCTTAGGATATAGAGAGGGCTGAAGCTAGACTGTGTGGCTATGCCCAGGTGTGCAGGCAACTGAAGCATTGGCAGGGCTGCTGGACCTGGAGCTGTGGGGGCTTCAGGGAAGCTGGTGGGGGCTGATGTGGGTGCCCTGTATTAATTTCTCCCTGCACGCCTCTTCCCTCTGCCTGTGATTGTGCTAGTGTCTTCCCTAGATGGGTGGTTTGCCCACTGTGACACCTCCCTGTCCTTCCTCTAGGGCAGCAGGTGATTGAGGAACAGCGGCGGCGATTGGCTGAGCTGAAGCAGAAAGCAGCAGCCGAGGCTCAGTGCCAGTGGGATGCTCTGCACGGGATGGCCCCCTTCCCAGCAGGCCCCTCGGGCTTCCCCCCACTCGTGCACCACTCCATCCTGCATCACCTGCCAGCTGGGCGGGAACGTGGGGAGGAGGGCGAGCACGCCTATGATACACTGAGCCTGGAGAGCTCTGACAGCATGGAGACCAGCATCTCCACAGGAGGCAACTCCGCCTGTTCCCCCGACAACATGTCCAGGTACTTGACCCCTGCCCCATCCTGCCTGATGGTGGCAACTCTACTCTCCTCTAAACCAGACCTGCCACCTCTGCCCCTTGATGAACCCACTCTTCCCCTTCCCTTCCCAGTGCAAGCGGCCTGGACGTGGGGAAGATCGAGGAGATGGAGAAGATGCTGAAAGAAGCTCATGCAGAGAAAAGCCGACTCATGGAGTCGAGGGTGAGGCGGGTCTGGGCCACACAGGCAGAAGGGATGGGGGTCCCAGCCCTGCCCTCCACCTGCCAGGGCCCGCATTCTACTCCAAGCCAGATCGCCCACATTATCCTTGTATACTCTCTTGAGGGACAAAATGTTTTAAAGTTGTCATTCCTTGAGTGGGGCATAGGAAGGCTTGGTGAGATTGTATGTTTCACACCTTTTAGGAAAAGAGGAGGCAGCACATGAATTTCCTGTATGAGAACTTCTAGTCTTTGTGTATTTACTTCTGTGGACCTTTGGCTACCACAGGAATTTCGATCCCTGTTTCCCTGAGTGGCATGTCATTCCTCTGGGGATGGTTAGGAAAAGCAGCAGCACCTGGGGATTGAGGAGTAGGGACAGAAGGGAAGGCAGACATTCAAGCCAGAACAAAGGTATTGGTGGGGGGACCTTAGGATGCAGCAGGGGGCTGAGGGAAGTAATGTCTACTTCCCCTGGGTCTGGAGCCTGGACACAGAGAAGAGGGACCAGTGGTTTATCCTGGACACAGCCAGGCTGAGGAAACTGGGCCTGGGGAGGGGATTAAAGGATCTGCAGAAGCTGTTGTCTCCACCATCCGGTACTCTGTATCTCTTGAAATGAGAGTGGGACCCAAGGAGCAGGAGTCAGCAGCTGGATCAACCAGAAGAGAAGGTTTCTTAGTCTTATTCACATAAGAGGAAGGCAAATTTACAGTCATCTTTCGGCAAATGGAGAGAAAGGAGATTTTGCTAAGTTTTGAGCTGGGAAGAAATGGCAAATGGGAGTTAATGGTAAAAAGGTCATTACCATTGGTCAAGACATACAGAACATCACTGGCATGCTCTGTATTTAATGATTTGTTTTAATGACTTTTATAATCTTTTAATAATAGCTTTCATAAGTTTATTTCTCCCATTAAATTTGAAGTTCAAGTACAAATGTTTCAAAGGGCCTCAGTGATTAGGGAAGGACCATTGAATATATTCTCTGTCAAAAAAAATTGTCTAGATAATCCATGTTTTAGGAATTCAGATAAAAATTACAGGAGCCTCATTTATTTATTAGTGTTTCCTTCCTGCCAGAGTCAGTGATGGGCATTTACACACATGATCTCATTTAATTTTTACTGTAATCACAGGAGTAGGCACTCTTGGCCCCATTTTACAGATGAGGCAACTGAGGCTTAGGGAGTTTAAATGATTTTGTCAGGATCCCAGAACTCACACTGGTGGCCAAGCCAAGATTTGAAGCCAGGACAATCTCACTTTAAAGCATTTACCCTTACCAGCAAGGTCCTTGAAGAAGGTGGGTTTTGAGGACGATGTCCCCTCATGCCAGGCTGCCCTCTGAGGTGGGTGCCTCCTACATTTTTGCCCCATCCTGAGGAGGGGCCGCTGAGGATGGGGAGGAAGAGGGCAGCCGTGGGCACTGACCCATGGCTTTGGGGGCAGGAGCGGGAAATGGAGCTGCGGAGGCAGGCACTGGAGGAGGAGCGGAGAAGGAGGGAGCAGGTGGAACGGAGGCTGCAGAGTGAGAGCTCCAGGAGGCAGCAGCTGGTGGAGAAGGAGGTCAAGATGCGGGAGAAACAGTTTTCTCAGGTGAGTGGGTGGTTGGCTTGAGAGCAAGGCCATGGAGGGGTAAGGACATCCCAGAGTAACTTTGCTGGGCTGCAAAACCTGTTCTACCCAGAAAAAAACTGCTGTTGGCTCAGCACAAACAGAATTCTATCTGGGACTCATTTAGTCCCAAGGAACAGAGATCCACTGGGGCTTGTTCAAGTCAGTGTGTCTATGTATGTGTGTGTATATATTGGGAGTGGGTGAGTTGTGGGGACACGGCAGGCCGCCTTGCTGACACCTGGGGTCAGAGAAGATGGTCTGAACAGGCCTCTCAGAAATGGGAGCTGAGTCAAGAATCAGGGCAGCTCCCTTTAGCTTCTCTCGAGGACCTCATCCCTGTATCGTGAGTCTGTGCTGCATGCACCTCCCTCCTGCTTCCCTGAGGACCTCCCATACCTGGTGCTTCATAGCTGTCCTGGCCCGCACTCCACCAGACCCTTTGTCTCCAGGCCTCACTACCAGCAGATGACCTCACTCTGACTGTTGGTTTACATTTCCAAGAGACAATTATACTAGTTTCTCCCTGGGACAGGAATCTATCCTTGCACAAAACCAACTCGGTTTTTTTCTTATACTGGAGACTTGAGCAACAGTTAAGGGCAGAGGAGAAATTAGGTTGGGTAGAAAATCTACCATGCCTCTGGTCCCAGATCCTGGCTCCTGTGAGACTCCGACAGGCTGTCCCTTCTATTGGGTTTCCATAGGCTTCCCCAGGGTGGGGTTACCGTGGGATCTACCTTCAGTAGCGACTGATGATCACAGCTCCCCGATTTCTTTTGATGAAACAACATAAATTCTAAGGGATAGGCCTCTTGGATTGGCCTTGACAAGAAATAACCAGAAACTGTGAGTTTTAGAACTATACTTGGAATCTTTGTCAAATGCCTAATTCCCCTGTCCTGCTTCAGTCAGTGGCCACTTTGAGACTCTCTAGCCCCCTGTCCTGGGGCTGAAGCATTGTTGCAGGGGCCACCAGTGTCTGCTGTGGGAGGTGGGTGGAGTCAGCCCATCTTTGGGGTGCCTTCTGAAAGCTGTGTGTTTTGTTTTTTCTTTAATAGTTCACAATGTTTCCTTTTCTTGCCGTTCTGATGTTCTTCCGAGAAAGGAAGAGTAGAAATCAATTCCAGTTGACTGAAAATTCTAGTTAGTATCAGAATTTTTGAGGTGGAACAGACCTTAGTGATTATCTGATTCAAAGCCCTTGCTTTGCATATAAGGAAACTGAAGCCCAGAAAGGGGATATGACCCAAACAAGGTGTCATGGGAAGTCAGAGGCCAGATTTCTTACTGGGCTTTTCTTCCCAAAGCATGTTCATATCTGGCCTCCTGCTTTGGTCTATTCATCCCAGGAGGGAGAGAATGGGCAGGGGCAAGACAAAGATGGCTGTGTCTTGGTCATAGGTGGGGAAACTTAGGCATAGAGTCACTCAGCAGTTTTCCCAAGCCTAGGTAGAGTCAGCACAGGCATGCTAGGTCTCTGCTTTTGCCACAAGCCCTGTGAAATCAGAGTGACAGCCATGAGGGTGGGAAAGGAGTGATGGCAGGCTGTTGGGGGTTCAGGACGGAAGCCAAGGGGCCTGAACAAGGGAATGGTGGGGAAGAAAGGAGAGCCTGCAAACCCTGCCCTCTTCTCCTAGGCACGACCTCTGACCCGCTACCTGCCAAACCGGAAGGAGGACTTTGACTTGAAGACCCACATCGAGTCGTCAGGACATGGCGTCGATACCTGCCTGCACGTGGTGCTCAGCAGCAAGGTACAAGGCGTGCCCTGGGGTGCTGGGGTCCTGGGTCCTCAGGATAGTGGCCTCAGTTCCTGCCCTAACACTGGAGGTCTCTGTCCCAGGACCTGGTATGCTGTCCGGAAGAGATGTTGGGGACAGCTCCCCATGAATACAGGCACAGGTGATGGCACTTAGGTTGCTGCTCAGGGAAGAAAAGTTTAGGGGCTCTGCATTTGGGTCCTTCCTTACTCCTGCTTCCCACCAGGTCTGCCGTGGCTACTTGGTCAAGATGGGCGGCAAGATTAAATCGTGGAAGAAGCGCTGGTTTGTCTTTGACCGGCTCAAGCGCACCCTTTCCTATTATGTGGGTAAGTTCCCACAAGACTGCCCCAAAGCCAGACCTCTGGGCCCTGTAGCTGATCTTCTGGAAGGAAGCCATGCTTCCGAGTGGGAGGCAAGGGGCTTGGGCTGGGTCTTGTCCTCCTCTTCCTGGAAATGTACAGCATGTACTTGGTTCACTTCCATTTATTCATTCATCCATCTATCCATTTATTCATTCACTTATTCAGCAACCGCTGAACATCTAATAAGTTCCAGGCACTGTTCTAGGTTCTGGTGATTAGCAAGATCTATCCATTTATTCATTCACTTATTCAGCTATTCAGCAACATCTAATAAGTTCCAGGCACTGTTCTAGGTTCTGGTGATTAGCAAGATGGCCACAGCTCTTTCACTCAGAGCTTATTGACAGGGAGGCAGATACTGAACAAAGAGTTAAAACAAAGCATGATGGGTATGCTGTATGGAACACCCAGATGCCGTAGCTGCATGGAATCCTGTGAATTCCCCCTTGGGCAGGTTTCCTCAAAGACCCCAAGACAAGCAGTTGAGCAGTGCCAAGGAGTGCTCAGGACAGCCTTCGGGACAGGCCCACTGGCCTGTCTTGCTTCCTCAGCTCTCCCTACTCAGCCTTCAGCTTAGTTCCCCTCCCTGGAATTCCCTCTGGACTCGGAGTATGGAATGCTACATTGTACCCTCGTCAGGAGAGGCTAGAGTGTGCTGGGGAAACAACCAGTCCTGAGATCCCAGTGACTCAAAACCACCAACTTTTTCTTCTAACTCCGGATGCCCGTGAACATTGCTTCAGAGCATGCCTTTCTGGAACATTGCTGGCCACAGTGGCAGAGTAAAGAGAAGCCGAGTTGGGCCTTGCATTGACATTAAATACCCCAGCTGGGTTTGTCCACAAGTCATTAGTGGGCTATTCGGCCAGTCACCCAGCCCCACCCAATCACAAAGCTGAGAATAGCAGTCTTGCTTGGAGCCTGGAAGGAAAGGGCTGGAGTGGTTTGGTGCTGGAGACTCCGAGGCCTGGAATGCCCTGCTTACCCTCTAACCTGGTACCTAACCAGGAGCCACTCCCTCAAAGAAGCCTTCCCTGATCACCTGGGCCCTGGGTATGGGGAGGCAGGAAAGGCAGAGACACAGATGTCCCCATATTTTCACCTGGGCTGGGAAGGGATTTTGTCAGAGTTGAGAGTAATAAGCCTGGGAGAAGAGCTCCATTTTGGGTATGTTGAAGTTGAAGTGCCCAGGGGACATCTAGGTTTAGGATAAAGGTCAAGATTAGAGGCAGACTGAAAGTTGAATCTCCTATAGTAAAAATAACAACAAAAATAGAGGATCATAGCAGAACACTTGTATAAACCAGATGCTAAGCACTCTATGTGCATCATCTCATTTAATCTTCATAATTTATGAGGGAAGCACTGTTTTTATATCCATTTTACAGTTGAGGAAAATAGGGCTCAGAGAGTTAAGTAAATTACCCAAGGTCTCCACTAAGAGGCAGAGCTAAGACTGAACTTGGGCATTTAGAAGGGGCATAGAGAGGGCTGCACGCTCAGGCAGACCTACTCTTGTGGGGAAGGAGGAAGCGGCGGGGCCAGCAAAGGGAGAAGCAGCAGGAGGCAGGAAGCTACATGCCAGGTGCTGGTGCTTGGCATATGTGCACTTCCTTAATGTCTATGAAACAAAAGGAGACCAAGTTCAGACAGGGGTGGAGATAGAGAAGGAAGCTAGCCAAAGGAGCAGACATTTGCAAGCAGGAGGTGTCACCAGCAGTGATGGATGCTGCAGAAAGGCCAAGAATAATGTAGACCCAAAGGGCATTCGACCCAGGAATTAGACCTTGATAAGAGAAAGGTTTCTGCTGTGTACAGGGGCAGGAGCCGGATTGCACAAGATCAAGGATAGGTGAGTAGTAAGGAAGCCGAGGCAGGAGGGTGTTTCCAGTGAAGGAAGAGAGGGAAGAGAACTGGGGCTGCAGGATTGGCCAGGCCTGGGGCCCAGAGTAGGGTCAGGTCCTTATCTGTAGGAAAAAGTGTTAAATAGAGATAGGCCTACAGCAGGATCAGGTCCCTGGATCAGTGTGCCTTGCCTACTCCTGTTTTGAACCTGCCATTCTTCCTGCCTTTGCCTGGACCCTTCTCCCATTTACTCGATGGAACCTCTCCAGTCTGCAAGGTCCAGATCAAATATTACCTTTATGGAGCCTTTCCTTGCCCCACCTAAGAATGATTCCTGTCTCCCACTATATATCTCTGTGTTGTACAGGGTTTGTCTGCCATGTGACATCAGCCCAGGGACATAATGATGCAATGACAGATGCCACATGTTATGTGTCAGACGCTGTGCTGCACACTTTGAATGTGTTCTTTGACTTAATACTCATAACCTATGATGCGTAGCTGCTTTCTTGGACACCTAAGTCACACAGTTGATAAATGCTTTCTTTCATCCTGGATTGTAAGTTCCTAAGAGAAGGGTCTCTGACTTTTCTCTGGGTCTCCGTGCCTAGGATTCATTCATTCAACATTGATTGAGCACCTAGTGTGTGCTAGGCACGTAGCTCTTGGTGTTGGAGGAGGTAGATCTATGAATTTAAAGGAGGGTTCAGAGTTAGCATAAGTTCTACACAGAGGCACATGCCTGCTGTGCGAGCCAAGGGAGAGCACAGCTGAGCACCACAGTGGTGGCATTTGCTACGGGTCTTAAAGATCTGTAGGAGTTTGCCAAGGGAGTGGTCTAGAGACCACTCCAGTGTACACGGAGTACCTACCTGTTAAGGGAACATGAGAAGTTCAGCCTGGCCAGATGGAACTTGAGGTTAGTGCAGGGGAGGCGTGTGAGACAAGGCCAGAGGGACGTGCTGGCACCAGCCCGTAAACAGCCTTGGCCAACCCCAGGAGGCAGCAGGTTCTCAGTGAGGGAACCAGCAGAGACACTGTGAGCCGAGGCAGCAGGATTAGATTTGCTTTAGGAAGCTCACCCCCTTGGCATTAGGGAAGATGAGTTGAAGGAGCAGAGGGTGGGACAGGGGCACAGTAGGAGGCTGTAGCAAAGATCCAGGATCCGATGACTCAGGCCTGAAATGACGCAGGAGGTGCGGGAAGGCGCATACTGCCAGCCAACACCATCTGAGTTTAGTGACTGTGCAACCTTTCCTTTATGTCTCAAGCTTGCTGTCCAGCATGTTAGTTGTGGTGCCTGAGCAGTGTTCACCAGCAGATGAGATGGCCCAGGCCCTGTGCTTTCTCTTGACAGAGCCCCTGTCCCTCCTCACCGAAACGGTCACCCCTGCTCTGTTAGTTTGCCCACCTCCTTCCTGCCACCCCTGCCTCCTGATGCTAAATACTCCCTTCTATGTTTTGATATTAGAGTTGAATAGGTAAATGCATTCATATAGTTCAAAAATCAAAATACATAAAAAGGTTTAAATTGAGAATTATGCCCCCATTCGCTATAGGTAACCACTTTTATTAATCTCTTGTGTATCCTTTTAGAGTTTCTTTAGGGTAATATAAACAAATGCAAACATGAATTCTTACTCTTTTTTTTACATAAAAGGTAGCATATAATACATTCTTTGTTTTCCTACTCATGTATCTTAGAGATCGTTATCAAATATGTGTGTTTAGATATTTACATGTGGATTTATTTTATAGATTAATTTCTGAATCTATATCAGATTTTCTACATCATTCTAGATAATAGCTGTCTAGTATTCCATCATGTGGTACACTATAATTTATTAACTATTCTCTTGATGGATACTTGGGTTGTTTTCAATCTTTTGTTACTACAAATATTGTTACGGTGAATGAGCTTGTGAATTCATTATTTTGTACATGTGTAAGATAAGTTTTCCTAAGTGTAATCATTGGCTCAAAGGGCAAATATCTTTCTAATTGTAGACACAACCAAATCATCTATAAAGGTTTACCAGTTTATACTTGCACCTGTCATTTATTAGATTGCCTATTTCTCACAGACTTGCCAAAAGTGTGCTTAATTTTTTGTATACTTTTGCCATTCTGATAAGTGAGAAGTAGTATCTCAGTGGAGTTCTAATTTGCATTCTTTGTAATTCTGAGTGAGCCTGAGCACTGAATATATCTTCAGGGCTCCATGCTGGGTTCTGTTTTGGAGTTCTGTTAATCACCCCATTTCCCAGATGGAGAAGCTCCATGTCCACACAGCTTGACCTGAAGTATGACAGGCCTCCTAAGCCCGGCCCTTATTTTCCTTTGCAGACAAGCATGAGACAAAACTGAAGGGGGTCATCTATTTCCAGGCCATTGAGGAGGTATACTATGACCACCTGCGCAGTGCAGCCAAGGTGAGGTGGACAGAAGGGACAGCCATAGGGAACGGGTGGGCTCTGGGAGCACAGGCCTCCAACCTACCCTCTTCAGAGGCTTGGACCCATCCTTTTTCTCTTCATGAACTTTCTCTTCCTCTCTACCTCTCTCCTTCCCAGAAGAGGTTTTTCAGCTTCACTATGGCGATTGAGGTACCCTTCCCCACATATAGTAACCAGAACTACCACATATTAACTCCTCCATACCCTACTTGACCCTGACTTTTTACTCTTTCCTAAACCCCTCTCCCTTCCCCAGGCCTGAGGGAGGAGCAAAGATGGGTTGCAGAGAGCAAGAAGCCGCTGTGGGCTTGAATTTGGCTTGCTTGCTTCCCTCTCCTGAGATGACAGCAGGATGTCTCCCTGCGGGGGTGGGCAATGCAGAAGGGATGTCTAAAAGGGGAGGAAGGGGTCCTTGGAGACTAGATTTGGTAGAGAGGATTGATAAACAAGAGATAATTGAGGCTGGTCATCTGCCTCAATGCAGTGCAAGTCAGCCTCCCTCCCGCCAAGCCTCAGATTCCTACCCTACCCTGATCTCTGCTCCTCTGAGGTTCTGGGATCCAGCATCCCACTTGTAGCTTTTCCCATCTGCATCTCTTTTCTGGAGAGGAGAACTTTGGTCCTCACTAGAACAGCCCTTTGTATCTGATCCTTTTGATATTTACTTTTGTGCCTGGGGGTACCAAGGAACAGTGCCCCCACCTGCCCAGGTACACCCCTGTCAAGGTCCAAGGACTGTCCAGCTGTGAGGAGGGGAACATCTCAGCCTGGGACCCACTTGACCTGTGGGTACTAGGCTTTAGGCCTACTTAGAACTCATCCCCAAGCTCCAGGTCATCCCGGAGACAGGGAGGAGAAACGGCAGACGGGGAGAGAGGTTAGAAGAATGGTCCTGGGCATCAGGGGTGAGCCCCGTCTTAGACTCTCCTCTGTCCCTCCACAGAGCCCAAACCCAGCCCTCACCTTCTGTGTGAAGACCCATGACCGGCTGTACTACATGGTAGCCCCCTCTGCAGAGGCCATGCGCATCTGGATGGATGTCATTGTCACCGGGGCTGAAGGCTACACTCAGTTCATGAACTGACTGGCATGGGCCTTCTGGACCCTCAGGCCAGCCCCAGGACCCATGCCTGACGATGGCTGCTCTCTTTGGCCCTGGAGACAGAGTCACACCCTGGACTCCAGGCCTCACTGGGGCACTCCCAGAGGACCTGGGAGGGCAGAGTGTGCCTGGGGCTTTTGTACAAGACTTTGTAATGTTGTCTAAGGAGCTCATCCTGGGAGTTTCTGAGCTTGGCCCTCTAAAGAACCAGCCAGGAGATAAAAGGTAGGATGGGGCTTTACTGCCTCCTGGGAGCCCAGAACTTGCAATAACTCTTTAGGGTCCTGCCCTCCCTAGCCTGTATTCTCTTTTGTAAAGAACAAATTATGGTACCTGAATCTGCCAAAGATCCCCTCTTGCCTCAGCCCCCTTTGCAGGGGACTTGAGGGATGAGCAGAGCCACATCCAGAGTGGGGTAATAGCTCAGGCAGTATACTTCTCAAACCCTGCTCTACCCAATTATTCTTCTGCAATTATATTTTTTATTACTTTGCTCAAGGGCCAGAGACCTCAAGTGTCATCCTTGAGGTCTCAGTCCCAACCCTTTTTGCAGACCCATTATCATGGTCACCATAGTAACTGCTTCATTGCCATGGTTACATACTAATTGCTGTGGCTCCATGGCTCAGCCCACTGCTTAAGCTGTGGGCCCATCTGAGGGTATGTGCCATCATCTCTCCAGCCCAAGACCTTGGGTATCTTATGCTGGGGGGAAGGGACTGATCACCTCCCTGCCTCCAGCCTGTGTCTCCAGGCTCTGATACACAGCCTGCTGCCCCAAACCCCCTGCCCTGGGCCAGCCCTCTCCCTTCCACTCGTGCCTTGCTTAGAGCCAGAAGGGATGAAGCTGGGGCTTCTAGATCCAGAGGAGGAGCAATGCGAATGGGAGATAAAGCTATAATGGCTGTCCTCAAGATTTCTGGGGCTGAGTTTCTGACAGGGACAGAGGGCTGCTTCCTTGGGAATGTGAGCAGGAGAGGGAACAGCAGAGAGGGAGGAGTCTGAGGTCCAGCTATGCTCCCTTCGGCCTCAGAAGGGCAATGAAAATGAAGAGCAAAGGTCCAGGCCTCCAGCTGTCCAGCCTCAGCCCTTCAAGCCTTAACATTAGCCCACCTCCCTGTCCCCTTTTCCAGCACTGGGACGTGATAGCTGGGCCCAGCTGAGTGATTTTCAGTATTTGTAAGCATCTCAGCAGAACAATAAAGCATTTGGAGTATGTGTTTGGGAGGCCAAGTCGTGTGGGCTGGGATATGTGGGGTAGGAGGGCTTGGTCTTCCCCACAGAGCAGAATTTCCACCTTATTAAATGTTCCAGGATGGACCCAGGACCCAACCCATGACCCATGGGTCCCATCCCTGCCCTTACTCCTCTGTGACCGAGGACTGACCAGGGCACAGGAGGGCATGGGATCGCCAGGGATGGGGGATGAAGAAGCAGAAGAAGGTAGGGACTTGTGCACAGGTTTAATGAGGCAGGAGCCAGAGCCAGAGGAGGAACTGAAGACACACAGGACAGTGAGACCTGTTACTGTGGCAGGAGGCTGAGTGGAAGGCTAAGCAGCAGGGTGGCTGCGAGGTAGTGGGGCTCCAGGAAAGCCGTCTGGGTCCCTGAGCTCAGCCGGTCACCATAGCGGTCCAGGAGCATCAGGACCACTCCATTGGTCCAGCCAAACCCCTCCTGGAGGGAGGCACAGCCGATGGGGCAAGACCTCTGGGGAAGGCCCCCAAGTCCTTTTAGCGGGGTGTGGGATCTCTACCCAGAGGCTGTGGACCCGCCTAGAACCGGGGGTACCAGGGAGCACCAGTCAGGCTCCTCCCTGTGGACCCACAGACATGGGAGGCCTAGAGAGGGGAGGTCATGGTCACTTGGGACAGCAGAGCCCTGTAGTTCCCTGTTGGATGCTGACCCACTCACCTGAACTTCATACTCCCCTCCACCACCCGGCTGTCCACCATTGCTGATGTCATACTGGGGACAAGAGGACAAACTCTAAGGTCAGAACTCCCTCCAGCCCCCGCACCCCAGCCCTCTAGGGGAAGAAAGACATGGGAGCCCCTTTGAGAGAAGCTGCTCCGATCCGTGGCTCTTACCCCTGCAGTCCCCAAAAATAGCCACTGGGCGCCGCCACCACCCCTAGGCCTGGGCTTTGCAAAGCCTGATAATTCTCCCATGTCACCATGGGGAGGAAGACTGGTGGGACTGGGCTCAGGGCCAGCTCACCTTCTCGTACATGGCCGACTTTTGGGAGTAGACATCAAAGTTGGTTCGGATCCAATTCTGCGCCAGCTGGAAAGCCACTTCCTGGGTCCTGGATGAAGGAGACTTGGCCAGACCTAGACCCCCACCCCGAGGCAGGACCCTGAATCTCCAGAGCCTCCATCCCAGTGGGCACAGAGGCCCCAGCCCAACTCTCCTCAAGGAGGGAAAGGGGCTCGGGCCCTAAGACCTCTTTCCTGGAACCACAGGCCAACCCTGCTGTAATCCCAGGCCTGGCTGTGGAGGGAGAGGAGCGTGGATTCCCCCGACAGGTGGGGTGGACATAAATGTTTGCTGAGTGGGAGGCAGAGAGAGCAGAGATGTCAGAGAGAGGCCCCCGCATCCTCTGTTCACATCTACCCAGCACTAGGGAAATGCCTCTGGCTTCAGGCCCTAGGAAATGCCCCATCCCTGTCTCCTACCTCTGATGACCAGGTCCTGCAGGGGTGCCCAGGCATTGGGGAAGTCCCACTGCTGGGCTGTCTTCCGGAGAGAGGTCGGGATCCCGTGTTGGTAGGTCAGGATCTGGCTGTCCTGGAAGGTTCCAGACATTACTATGACTGTGGGTGGGGACTGGGCAGGGAGCCAGGAGGCTGAGCCCTCCTAAGCCAGGTGTCCTTTTCCTGAGCCTTCTCTTGGCTCACAGCTGCCCCCTGGTGGCTGCAGTGAGACCCTCAGGCTAGGACATGGGGATTTGTTGGGGGAAGGGAGCAGGAGGGAGTGGCTGCCACTTGCCAGTAGTCTTTGTTCACAGTCTGGGAGAGAGTAGGTGGTCTTGGCCCCAGTGTACCAGCCTGCCTTTCTGCCCACCTCACCTCCAGGTATTTCAGAGCCTTGTCTATGACACCCAGGTCAGAGAAGCAGTCGGCCCAGAGAGGAGCGAGGTTGGATGGGTAAAACTCTTGGTTCTTCTTTCCATTTTCAAGGTCATAGTCAAACCAGGCACCCTTCTCCTCATCCCACAGGATGGCCCTCATGGCGGCCAAGCGCTGTTCCCGCAAGTTTCTGTACTTCATAGCTTGAGAATCATTCCCTAGGGTGACACTGCCTTCAGGGCCCTGTGTACCATGTGAGGCCTCCTCCTGTTGTCCTTCCCAAGGGCTAAGAAGTTTTGAGTACCAAGGGGGACATGCCCACCTGGAGCCCACCACATTTCCAGCCCCTAGGACATGGAATTCCCTGAGTAAATGGCCCTGAACAGCTCCCAAGACCTGCACTATTTGTTCCCTGGGTCCATCCTCAGGAAGGCTCTGACTATGTGGATTCCCTGGCTCTGAGGGGTCAAAGGGCAGCTGTTTTGGGAAAGGGAACAGAGGGAGCTTGGATGTGTGGACTAAAGTGTCTTCTCATAGGCCCTAGAAGGCCCTCCCAGTAAGGAAAACAAATAAAAATAGAAGTGGACACCGTTTGTACTCCTGCCCTGGCTGCATTAAGGATGAGGTCCTGAGCAAGCTGGGAAGCTGACGGTCGTTCACACAAGGTCCTCCTTTCGGCTCTATTGCCAAGGCTGAGGCAAGGACCCAAGCTGGACAAGTACCACCCTTCCTCCCCTCCCATTGGTCTGCTCACCCAGGGTGGTGTAGAAATTGCTCATCAAATCCTCTGCCTGGCATAGGAAAGCATTGAGGTCAACAGGCACGAGTTTGCTGGTTCGAATGCTGCTGAGCAAGTCAGGGTTTGGGCCTCCAATGAGCCAGCGGGAAGAGAAGTCCCAGCCAGATTCGGCTCCCGCCTTGAGCTCAGCCCACAGAGTCTCCCGGTCCCCTGTGAAGACAAGGCAGCAGCAGACAGGGGACCAAAGCCTGGCATATCTGCAGGCACCCAGCCTCAACCAGTCCGCCTCACCCTGTTGCTGCTCACCTTCTGGCAAGATGTCTGCCAGCTCTGCATCTTTGCTATAGGACTCTGGCCTGGTAAGAGAAGAGTGGGCAGCCTGGCACTAAGAGGCTCAGAGCCCTCGTGCCCCAACCGGAGGCTGAGCAACATTGACTCAGCTGTTCTTGGGGCCCACAGCCCTGAAAAGCCCAGGACTATCAGTCGTACCATCTGAGAGGTGGGGCTAAGTCACCTGCCCTGCTGCCCAGGGGCCTGGGGACACTCAAACAAGAGTTAATAGACAAGAGATTGAGAGGCCGGCCAGGAGGTCCCTCACCTGGGTCCCCCATAAGGGACATGGTAGCGATTCAGGATGTAGCTCTTTCCCCTCAAGCTCACAGAGATGTTCCTGTTCTCAGCCCAGAAGTCCAATTCCAAGGCTAAGGTCCCAATGTTGTCCCTGGGGTGGAGCGGGGCACCACCTCAGCCCAGGCACACTTCCCCAGTCCCACCTTGGGAGGTCTCAGGTATGGGGAAGCCTGCAGGGCAGCATGGGGAGAGGGTCCCCACCGTAGGAAAGCGGTGTCGTTGGTGTGAGTCACGTAGTGGTTCATCATGAGGGTCAGGAGTGGGGGCTGGCTGCGCTGCAGGTAGTACACACGGGCCCCGTTGGGGACATGTCCATAGCTGCCAAGAAGGAGGCCTGCTAACATGGCCCTGCCCAGCTGCCAGAGACAAGGCAAATCCAGCTCCAAACCCGTGGCACCTGCTTCTCCTCCACCTTGGCCTTGAGGTGCCGGCCCCCTCTTACGTTTGCACCAGGTCCAGGAAGTTCTGCAACATGCCCTTCACGGTCTCAGACATCTCAGAGAGGAGCAGCCCCTCCATCACCCAGTAGGAGTCCCTGGGGGAAGGGGATGGCTCAGGCATCCTGATCAGGCATCCTCCCACCCGCCTCTGCCCTATGCACCCAGGCCACATCGGGTACCCCACCTTGCTCAGGCCATCTTGCTGGTCCTGGGCTCCCTGCCACACCCACCCCTGCAGCCCCTGGCTGCTCACCAGTAGTAGAACTCGAGAAAGCGCCCACCAGGCACAATGAAGGGGTGTTGTGAGTAGATCAGAGAGAACTGCTCAGGGTGGAGGAGGACCTCTGGCTTCACCTGGAGTCAGGAGCAAGGGCACCCTGCCTAGAACCCCTTTTTCCTGTGGAATGGAGGCTGGAGGGGGCTGTGACAGTGGAGGTCCTGGAAGCTGCAGGCTTGGGTTCTGCTCTGCTGCTGCTCAGCCCTGTGGGCTTGGCCGAGGCCTGGGCCACTAGGAGCCTGGTCTGCTCACCCTCACATGCGAGCCTCTGGAATAGGAGCCCCGACTACTCAGCCTGGCACCAGCAGGGGTTCACCAAGCAACAGTCACTATTAGGACCCAGGTGGGGGACCATTTTCTCTGGCGCCCTTTGCCTCCCGAATCTGTGCTGCCACCACCAAGCCAGGCCCAGAGAGACTCAGGGCCCCCCATTCTCTGGCCCAGGACCCTTTCCCCAGTGAAGCGGATGTAGGTGAACATGGCCAAGGGAGAGCAAGGTAGGACCAGAGAGGGGCTTGCTCTGCAACCATGTCATGCATTACCTCTGTCCCTTCACTGCTAGCTGTGTGTGAGTGAGTGTGGTTTTAGTGGGTGAGAGGTTTTGAGGGGAGCAGTGGAATATAGCTTGGGTTTGTTCCCGTGGTGGCTGGCTGGGGAAGCAGCCCACTCTAGCAAAGGAGCCAGGAGCACCACTCTGCCTGTGGGTGTTAGGGCCCTGGGGGCTAGGTGGGAGGACAGGTGCTGTGCAGCCTCAGGCAAACCACTGCCCTCTCTGAACCTCAGACAAAGGAAAGTGCCAACAGTAGGTAGGTCAAACTGTGCTGGTCACAGGGTGGGGCCACATCAGCAGGAGCAGTGATCATTCCTGAGCAGAGGCCTGTCCTGAGGAGCTCAGGGAAGAGAGAACCCAGCAGGAGGGAACAATTACCAGGTGGTGTTAGAGGAAGGGTTAGGCAGCCTGGAATTGGCAGGACAGGCTTAGTTTGCCTGGGGGGATGCTGGGAGGTCTTCAAGGAGGAGGTGAAGAGGTAGAAGCAGATGTTCTTCCTCAGAAATTTCTT